CGGTACGGGCGCGACACTGAGGGTTGCAATCCGTTGCCGGTCACGAAAAAAGACAAAAAGGAAAAAAAAAAATTTCTTATAAAGTCCATATAGTACCAATTATAGTTGAGTCAGTAATACAGAGCTTTACATGAAATGATTGACATGATATTTAAATATCTTAAATTGTGTATCCTAAATGCTACACAATAGATGGTAGTATTTTGCAAGCATTCTTACATGGAGCAAATTGCTTTATAAATTTTCTAAATCTGTTTTCTGGATTATACTGAAGTTCATTATTGGGATTTTTCTGTGTTTAAATTTTGTTTTCCCCAAAAAAATGCATATTTCAAACTTGGAGGTGTTGTGAAATTTTGAATTCATGTTTAAAATAAACTCTAATCATCTGAGGCTAATGTCATTAAAATTTACCTTTCTATTTTTTCTCGTTCATTAAAACTTTTTAGAAAATTCATTTACATCAAGCAGGCCTCACCTGGACGTAGTTCTTTCAAGGGAAAACCCAACTGCAAAGACGAGCAGATCACACATTCCTGTGAAAAGTATTGCTTCTTTTCCTGTAAAGGTAGTATAAACTATGTCCGAATACCAGAATTTCATTTCCTCATATCTTAGTTTCCATATAGAGCACATGGAAGAGTGGCTATTTTTTTTTTTTTGAAGATCCCTAATTCAGATAAATGCCAGACCGAACAGAGAGAAATATCCACATTTTTTAGGTTACTGTAAAATACCATTACTTTCGTCTTATGATATGACTTGTCTGTTTTGTTTATCCTGTCTTTGGAAATACTATGCATTTTTAGACTGAAACATCTGGATCTATAATTAATTTAAGCCTTCTCAACTTTTTACAAAGGAAAGTTTCATGTTGAAATATATCTTGCCAGCTTTGTCCAATGCAGGGTATATGTGTGTGTCTGTAAATGCGAGAGAGACAGACCTTTAGTGAATAATGCTATCAGTGATGTGATAGTGTGACCTTACTTAAGTAATTTCCTTTCTATCTGTGGCAATGACTTTTTTTTCTGTTTTCCAAGAATTCTGTAGCAAAAAACTACCTGTCAGTTTTAAGGTTTTCTCCTTCCCTAAAACGTCTTTATACTACAAGGGAACAGCTACTGAGAAATGTAATGTTGGGTTTTTTTTCCCCAAAAAAGTTAAGCAGATGAACTCATTCTAGAATTCTCATAGTCTTTATAAGTCCTTCAAAAGAGGGCCGGCACGGTGGCGCACTGGAGAGTGTGCCGCTTGGGAGCATGGCGGCGCTCCCGCCGAGGGTTCGGATCCCATGTGGAGACCGGTTCCCACTCACTGGCTGAGCGCGGTGCGGGCGCAACACCGAGGGTTGCAATCCCGTTACCGGTCAGTAAAAAAGACAAAAAGGAAAAAAAAAAAAAAAGAAAGAAAAGCTAAAATTGTTTATAGCTGGGATCATTTTAATATTGAGTATATAGGCAAGTCCTTTACAAATTTTATTTAAGTCCAAGCATTTTTCTTAATGATGTGGTATCTGAAAGACATTGGGACATATGTTTAAGAGTGGTAAACTACAAACTTTGCTGATCAGAGGACCAAACCTCAGTTTTAAGAATTTAGATGTGGAAACAACAGTGCAGTTAGGTGAGTAATCAGCTATAACGGTGTACATTCAGGTAACAGTGTGGATTCAGTGTCCTCCTTTTTGTGAGTGTAAATAATTTTATACCTTGTATTTATTCTACCCTAAATGAACTTGAAACTTGAAATTATTTTTCAATTTAATTTTGGCATAGAACTTACCTAAGATAGTTTTACTTATTCCAGACACATAGTAGGAATGTTAAACAGAAGCACAGGTGTTCTTTTCTCTAATCAATAATTCTGTATTTAACAAGATGTCCAAACATAAGGCGGCTCATGGGAAGCAAGCTTTAGTAACATCAGAATCCTCATCCAAAGTACCTGATGAAGTAAGGCAACGCTGCATCAGCTCCTTTGTTCAGAAATATTTGAAAGTTTGTAAGACAGAGGACGAGGCTCTTAACAAGGTCAGAATTGCATAATGTAATTTAACTGAAGACACAAACTTAGTAACTACTCGTATTACATTGAATAAAAAAACTCATGGGCACAATAATAAATAACTTTATTCATTTTCTCTCCACTGCTTTTTATTTTTTATTTATTTTTATTTATTTATTTTTTTTAAAGATGGCCAGTAAGGGGATCTTAACCCTTGATTTGGTGTTGTCAGCACCACACTCACCCAGCAAGCCAACCGGCCATCCCTATATGGGATCCGAACCTGGGGCCTTGGTGTTATCAGCACCGCACTCTCCCGAGTGAGCCACGGGCCAGCCCTCTCCACTGCTTTTTCAAAACCAAGCTGTGGGACTGGTTCTTTCTTCCCTCTTGGATGACTTTTTTGGTTTTCTTAAATTATAAAGAAATTCCCCTGGTTACTTCTAGTGATAAAAACTGTCTTCGTCCCATGATTTTCATTCATATCAAGGCCAGGAGAACATTAATCTGAGTAGGGTCTGCACCCCTTTAGATGGCTCGTATACACAACTTCTGGAGTACTACCAAGACACTCAAAGGAAATGTTCACTGGAGTATTTCAGATTTTGGATTTTTGGACTTGGGATACTTATGATGAAAATATTACAAAATCTGGAAAAAAAAAAAAAAACCCAAATCAGAAGTACTTCTGGACCCAAGCATATTGGATAAGAGATACTCAACCTGTTCTTACACCTACCTGTGTTCATTTATGGGTCATGCCTGGTCTCTTGGAGGCACTTGTGTTTGCAACCTCTAATAAAGACCTTGTTTTCCAAATTGGAACCTTCTAAACCAGTGGCAATAGTTGTAGTCTCCTATCCCCAGGCATATCTTTAAGAATCCATGTGAAAATTAATAGGGAATGGTGGGGACTACAGCTTACCAGATAGAATAAGTCCCATTTAAAGTGGGGTAGATGCTTTTCAGCTACATGTGACTTATGCAGTTTTGGAAATTCAAGTCCAATATTTATAGATTTCTATTCTTTCAAGAATTTTTATGTTAAAGTCTTTGTTTAAAATACTGTTAGACAAATACATCTTCAAACACTAGATTTAGGCTTTATGCTGCCCTTCTCCTGATTGAGGCTAATTCATATTGCTCTGGGGATTATAAAAAGAACCATGGGTGGATGCAACAAGAAATAGATTTCGGGTCAATGTGAGGAAGACTTTTATAACTTATATGCTGTCCATGAAACAGCTGCTTCACAAAGCAGTGAGATGTCAATTGCTAGAAATGTTTGAAATATAAGCTAAATTATCACACGATACGATTCTTGCATTAGGAGTGAGGATTTAAGGGCTCTTTTATTAACAGCTTTGCTAAGATATAATTCATGTACCCTACAATTTGCCCAATTAACATGTTCAATTCCATGACTTTTTGTATATTCACAGAGTTGTGCAACCAGTGCCACAATCAATTTTAAAACATTTCCATCATCCCAAATAAATACCTTGTACCCTTTAGCGATCACATTCCCTCTTACCCTCCAGGCCTAGGCAACCACTAATCTACTTTCTGTCTCTCCAGATTTGCCTATTCTGGACATTTCATAAAAATAGAGTCATATAATCTGTGGTACTTTCGTGACTGGCTTAATGTTTTCACTTAGCATAATGTTTTCAAGGGTCATCCATGTTATAGCATGTATCATTATCTCTATTTCTAAATAATATTCCATTTTACAGATATACACATTTTATTTATCTATTCTTCAGCTACTTTGGGTTATTTCCACTTTGGAACTATTATCAACAGTGCTGCTGTGAACATTTGTGTACAAGTTTTTGGATGGACATATGTTTACATTTCCTTGAGCATGTATCTAGGAGTGGAATTACTGGGTCATGTGCCTACTCTATATTTAGCTTTTTGAGGAACTCTGAAACTGTTTTCCAAAGTGGCTGCATCATTTTACATTTCCATCAGCTCTGTATAAGGGTTTCCATTTCTCCACATTCTCACCAACACTTGATATTGTCTTTTTGACTATAGCTATGTCAGTGGCTGTAAAGTGGCATTTCATTGTGATTTTGATTTGCATTTCCCTAATGACGAACGATGTTGAACATGTTTTCATGTGCTTATTGGCCATTTGTATATCTTCTTTGGAGAAATGTCTGTTTAAATCCTTTGCCCATTTTTGGAGTTATTTGTCTCTTTATTGTTGAGTTGTAAGAGTTCTTTATATATTCTGGGTATAAGTCTCTTTGCGAATATAACATTTGCTAATATTTTTTCTTTTCTGTGGGTTGTCTTGTCCCTTCTATGATGGTATCATTTGCAGAACAAAAAGTTTTTCATTTGGATGTATTCCAGTCTATTAATCTTTCCTTTACTGTTTGTGCTTTGGGTGACATCTAAGAAATCAAAGTCACAAAGATTTATTCCTATGATTTTTTTCCTAAGGGTTTTATAGTTTTAGCTCTTACATTTAGGTATATGATCCATTTTGAGTTGATTTTTTTATAAGGCATGAGGTGGAAGTCTAACTTCATTCTTTAAAATATAGATATCCAGTTGTCATAGCATCATTTGTTGAAAAGACTGTTCTTTTTCCCACTTGACTTGTCACCTTTGTCAAAAAGTTGACCATAAGTATAACTGTAAATGACCATAATTTCTGGACTCTAAGTTCTATTCCATTAATCTCTGTCTTTATAACAGTAATTACTATCCTTATACCTTAATTACTGGAGCTTTATAATAAGTATTCAAATTGGGAAGTGTGAGCCATCCAAATTTGTTCTTCCTTTTCAAGACTGTTTTGGTTACTGTTGACCCCTGGGATTTCCATATGAATTTTAAGATCAGTTTGTTACTTTCTTCAAAAAAAAAATATGTAGTTTGAATTTTGATAGGGATTTCTTTTTTTTTTTTCCTTTTTGTCTTTTTCCGTGACCGGCAACGGGATCGCAACCCTCGGGGTCGCGCCCGCACCGCACTCAACCAGTGAGCGGACCAGTCTCTATATGGGATCCGAACCCTCGGCGGGAGTGCCGCCGCACTCTACCGAGTGCGCCACCGGGCCGGCCCGATAGGGATTTCTTTTTTTTTTTTCCTTTTTGTCTTTTTCCGTGACCGGCAACGGGATCGCAACCCTCGGGGTCGCGCCCGCACCGCACTCAACCAGTGAGCGGACCAGTCTCTATATGGGATCCGAACCCTCGGCGGGAGTGCCGCCGCACTCTACCGAGTGCGCCACCGGGCCGGCCCGATAGGGATTTCTTTGAAGCTGTAGATCAGTTTGTGGAGTATTGCAATCTCAACAAGTTTTGGATGTTAAAGTAACCTTGCATTTCTTGCGTAAATCCCCTTGGTCATGGTGTATAATCTCTTTTTATATGTTGCTAGATTTCACTTCATACTATTTTATTGAGGATTTTTGTGTCTATATTCATTCAGGATATTAGTCTGTAGTTTCTTGTTTCTTTTGTATGTGTGTTACTGATTTTTTTTATTGTAGTGAAATATACATGACATAAAATTTACCATTTTAACCATTTTTAGGTATACAGTTCAGTGGTATGAAGTATATTTAAAATGTGCAACCATCACCACTGTTCATTTCCAGAGCTTTTCCATCAACCCAAACAGATGTATCTATTAAAGAATATCTCTGTACCTATTAAAAAATAACTCCCCGTCCCTCTCCCCGCCCCCCCGGTAGCCTCTATTCTACTTTCTGTTTCTATGAATTTGCCTATTCTAGGTACCTCATATAATTGGAATCATGCAATATTTGTCCTTCTTATCTGACTTCTTTCACTTAGCATGTTTTCAAGATTTATCCATGTTGTAGCATTAATTCCTTTCTACAGCTGAATAATATTTCTTTGGATGTCTATACCACATTTTCACTATCCATTCATCTGTTGATGGAGATTGTAGTTTTCTTTGCTGTGATGACTTTGTCTCTTTTTTAATCTCAGGGTTATATTGGCCTCATAGAATAAACTGGAGTGTGTTCCCTCCTCTTTTATTTTTTGAGGAGTTTGTGAATGATTGCTGATTCTTCTTTAAACGTTTGGGAGAATGTATCAGTTTTTCTTTGTGGAAATTTTTAAAAATTACTAATTCATATTGTTTTAGTTCTGTGCATAAGTCAATTTCAGGAGTTTTTGCCTTTCTAGAAAGTTTCCCATTTTATCTAAGTTATTTAATTTGTTGGTATCCAGTTGTTCCTAGCACTCCATTATAATTCTTTCTATTTCTGAAGTTTTGTAGTGATGTCCCCTTTTTTATTATTGAATTTAGTAATTTGAGTTTTCTTTCTTTTTTTTTTTTTTTCCCCTTTTTTGTCTTTTTTCGTGACCAGTAATGGGATCGCAACCCTCGGTGTCACGCCCGTACCACGACCAACAACGGGATCACAACCCTCGGTGTCGCGCCCGTACCGTGCTCAGCCAATGAGCGGACCGGTCTCTATATGGGATCTGAACCCTCGGTGGGAGCGCCGCCGTGCTCCCAAGCACTGCACTCAACCGAGTGCACCACCGGGCCGGCCCTTTCTTTCTTTTTTCTTGATCAATCTAAAGTTTTGTCAATTTTATCGATCTTTTCAAAGAACTAGCTTTTGTTTTTGTTGATTGCCTCTATTATTTTTCTCGTCTTTATTTCATTTATTCCATCCTAGTCTTTTTTATTTCATACCTTCTGCTTCCTTTGAGAATGCTTGTTCTTAAAATTCTAGTTTCTTAAGACAGAAGGTTAAGTTACAGATTTGAGACCTTTTTAATAAAGCCGTTTATAGGAATAAATTTTCCTCTAGGCAGTACCTTAGCTGAATCCCATAAGATTTGGTATGCCATGTTTTAATTTTCATTCATCTCAAAGAATTTTCAAATCTCTGTGATTTCTTCTTTGATTTATTAATTATTTAGGAGTATGTAATTTAACTTCCACATATTAGTGGATTTCCCAAATTTCCTATTAATGATTTCTAATATAATATAATTGAGGTCAAAGAACATGCTTT